TGTGTGTGTAAATGGAGGCTAGTTCTAGTGACTTTTGTTATAATAATGTTACTGTTAATCTTGAATACTTTTTGGTGATTAATGACTTAAATCATGTTACTGCAATTGATTTTTATAAGTAAGGGGTTGATGGAATTGGGTTACCGGATGGATGTAAATAGGCTATCGTGCGGTTAAGATTGTAAATGAGACGAGACAGATCGCGAGCTATTCGAGATCGACTCGGTCAAAGTTCGATCAACACTCGAATCGAATTAACTCGACTTGAGCTCGAACTCGACTCGAATTCTTAACGAGCTACTTAATACTCGACTCAAAAAGCTTGCTAGCTATTCGAAAAAATGTTATATTATAATTTTAGATTTTTTAAAATTACATTATTAAATATATTAAAAATACATTATTGATAATTATAAATTTTTAAAAATATATTTTTAAATGTAATATAAGATTTTTGTAGGTTCAAATTTGAGTTTGAGTTCGAGCTTGAATCGAGCTTCAATCGAGCTCCTGAATTTTTTTTGAGTTTGAGCCTTTTCAAGTTCGAGTTTCAATATTATATTTTGAGTTCGAGCTGAGCTTGATAATTTTTAGGTCTCGAGTTTTCGAGTCGAGCATAATTTTAAACTTTTTGAGTTCGAGTCGAGCTCAGCAATACTCGAGCTCGACTCTGCTCGTTTACAACCCTAAGTTATGGTCATGGATCAAATGTCATCCCCCCAACACTTTCCTTGGCATTTTCAGACGAAGATATTATTTGTAAACAATTCTTATTTTAAATTTAATTTTATATTTAAGTTAGAAACACTATGAACATTCAAAATCTTGTATATTGTGTTTTGTTACAAATATTAAAAACAAAAGATTTTAATGTCTTAGAACAATCACTATTATATCAAACTGGATGCTTTCAATGTTTCAAGTTATAATATTCCAGAACAAAATTACTTCATGTTGTGAATTTAGAGTTGAGAGAAAATGACTAGCCATTTTCATGTCCCATCCCAATGCAAGCTTCTGCTTATATACTTGGTGGCTGCAGCTTTTTGTTTTTGCATTTTCATTGTTCTGCTAAAATTTATCTGAAAGTTCACGTTTTACACATTTTATACCACTTGGAATTTCAGTTTTGCGTTCTTATTCTCTTAGCTTGCTTTACGTTGTATAATTTGGGATGATATTTTATATGAAGACATTGGTTTTGTCAGGTATTATTCACATGTCTACTCCGCGAACTGATCCACAAGTTCATTTGGAAACAACCTGTAGAACCCTTCTAGACGAACTTCAGGTATTGTGGAGCATTCCACACAAAATATGCCATAATTCTTTTATTTTTTTCCCTCCTAGCAAGATAATTCCCAGTTCAAATATGCTTCTTCCCTGTTTCTATTCTAAAAATTCGAACACTAGTCTGATATATACAATCTCACGGTTCCTTGAAAAACAACATTAGATCATCTGGGACGAAATATGGGAGACAGATGCAGACAGAGGTGAAATGATGCTTGAGCTTGAACGAGAATGCATGGAAATAAACAGAAAGAAGGTAGATCAGGCCAATCTCTCCAAAGCTCATATAAAAAAGACAATTGCTGATTATGAAGCCGAATTGCTGCTATCTGTGCAGCAGTGGGGGAGAGGCCAGTGAATATTAGGCAGGTCAGGAATGAAAGAATAATGAATCCTGGATGAAAAGATTCGGGTTAGATTGAACTATTTACTTATGTTACGGTCCAAACTTTTCAGTCAGATCTAAAAGTTGGAAGCTTGAAGGAAGAGCTCGGGAAAATTCTTCCACAGGTGGAGATGATGAAGAAAAGGAAGATAGAAAGAATAAATCATTTCATAAACGTCCTGGATCAAATACAAATTATCAGAAATGAGATAAGTGAATCCACAGAATCATTTCATAAACTGACTTGTCCTTGATGAAGCTTGAAGAATTGCACAGAGAGCTCTATGAACTTCAGAAAGAGAAGGTCATCTTTCTTACTTTTTTTCAATTCTTTTTTGTTTCCACCTCATGAAAACTGTTGCTTATCTTCCTCTCGCTGACTCGTCTCTCTTTTGTGCAGAGTGATCGTCTGAAGAAGGTTCAGGACCACCAAAACATGTTGAACTCACTTTGCTCAGTGATGGTATGGATTTCAAGATCACAGTTGCTGAGGTCCATCCTAGTTTAGGTGACTCTGAGGAATCAAGGAGTATTAGCAATAACACAATTGAACAGTTAAGTGCAACAATAAATAAGTTGCGGGAAGTCAAGATACAGAGGATGGACAGGGTAAAAATGAACTTTTAGTATTTTGCATACTGCAAAATCCTGGGCCTCTTCTATATATCTGATTAGAATAGTGTTCTTTGATCCTTTACAGCTGCAAGATCTTGCAACTACCATGTTGGAGTTGTAGAATTCGATGGATACACCAATTGAAGAGCAACAGAAATTTCAGGATGTCACATGTAATGTAGCTGCTGCAGAGGATGAAATTACTGAACCCCAACAGTCTCTCTGAGGATTTTATCAACCATGCAAGTCATACATTTTTAAAGGGGGGAGTTTAGCTGATCTTCTCTTGGTCTATAAATTTCAAAAGGTAGTAGTAATTGCTTTACTCCTGATTAATAGAGAAATAAATATGCAATACTATGCAGGTTGAGGCAGAAGTTTCTCGGTTGGAAGAGTCGAGTCGAGCAAAATGAAGGAGCTTGTCCACAAGAAGGGATCAGAGCTAATGAAGATCTGCAGGAAGACGCACCTGGTTCCAGACACTGAGTTAGAAGATGTCATTGAAGCTATTGAGTCTGGTACATGCTAATCATATCTCGTTTTCATCAGACCATTTGTTATATCATACTTCCCCCCTCCCCTTTTCCTCGTGCCATTCTTACATGATATATTCAGGAGTTGTTGATGCTGCGACCATCCTAGAACAAATTGAACTTCATATTGCAAAGGTTAAAGAGGAAGCTTTTAGCAGAAAAGAAATACTTGAAAAGATTGAGAAATGGTTGGCGGCATGTGATGAGGAGTGCTGGCTTGAGGAATATAACAGGGTGAGCGTTCCTGTCATCTCTTTGGAGTATTTTTTTCTTTTTTTGTCCTAGGATGGTAACCTTGCTTCAATATATGTTATTTGACAGGATGAAAACCGATACAATCTGGAAAAGGAACTCATCTTGGACTCAAGCGTGCTGAGAAAGCACGTGCCTTGGTTAATAAACTTCCAGGTATATGGTACTCCAAGATAAAAGGTTGAGAAATGTTGAAGTCACAGAACCAAACTTTGTTTTTTTAGTTACCATTTCACATCATGCAGTCCAAATTTTTAGATTTCTTCCAATGAATTTCTATTTCCTACCTGTTATTGTGTAGAATACTAGAATTAGTTAACACGGTGCTGAACTGTTCTATAACAATCGATTCAGGAATGACTGAGGCATTGATTTCAAAAACCATGGCTTGGGAAGAGGAGAGAGACTGAATTTTTGTATGATGGTGTGGGCGCTCTAAAAACTTACCCCCTTGAATATTGTTCCGTATTTGCTTACAATTTTGGTATCTATCTGTACCCCTAACAATATTAGACGAATACTACATCAAAATCTAAGGACGCAAATTATTAACACGACCCCATTCTATATTATCCAGATTCCTCTTCTTTCTATGCTCGAAGATTACGCTGCTTTACGAGAGGAGAAAGAACAAGAAAGGCGCAGGTTGCGAGTTAGATAACCAAACTCATTTCTCAATCACAGAGCATATGTTAATGTTGTTTCACCAATGTATGAAACTAGGCTATATGCAATTATGCGGCTATTTTTGCTGTTCAGGACCAGAAGAGACTTCAAGAGCAAATAATTGAGGAGCAAGAGGTATTGTATGGTTCAAAAGTAAGCCCACCAAAGCAGCAGACTGCAAAGAAGTATTCCAAGCAGTCTAGCATTAGAAGAACCTCCTCGGGAGGATCAATGGTTAGACCCGATTTGATCGTATGCGTTCAGATAGCCAAAAAACGAAGCCAATCGGAGGAAATCGTGAAGGGATCGAAGAGTCGTTCGAAGAAAGAAGGCTTGATCGTATGCGTTCAGATAGCCAAATAACACCGCTGATACAAGTATGATAATCTTCCAAAAACCTTATCATTGCTTTAAAATTGAAACCGAATCAAAATTGATTTGATTTTCATTTTATTCATTGTTTTATTCTCATGTCTATAACCTTAGCTGTTGTGCTGTGAATATGCATCTGAGAGCCTGTACGAGGACGAATTGCGAGGTTGAAAAATCCCAGTATTTTCGTCATGAAGCTCATCAGCATTATCCAGAATTAGAACATTTCAATCTACCCTTTTCAAATTACCCAAATGTAAATAAGTTATTATTTTCTTTCTTTTTTTGTACATTTTTAAAGGTTATGGTAATTAATTTGCTTCTTTTTTGGTACATTTTTGTGCCTATATAATTCATAGATTGTTATTTATAGTCCACAAACTTTCAAAGATGAAAGAGAAGTAATCCACCAGGAATGTCCAAGTAAGCATCATTTATCTTATCCACATTGCTCGATGCACATATGCCATCCTCCGTTAGCAAAATTTGAAGTTTACCTTATATTCAACTTCATTTATTTTAATTTAAGAGCATTTATCAGCTTATTGAATTCAACTTCATTTATTTTAATTTAAGAGCATTTATCAGCTTATTGAATGATCTCGTCAATAAAAGAGAGTGTTGTTCATTATTTAATTTAATATTTAAATTATTTTTTTATTTCAAATTTATTATAAAACTTGATGATAAAAGTCGATTTGTAAAGTTTGGATATCAATTTGAACCAAAATCGAGTTGATACCTTATCGTCGACATGTTGTAGCATTTAGGGCCTATAAGATGTTGGATCTTGTAATAAAGCCCTAAATTATTATCAAACTTCAGCCCATAATTTAAAGCTTAAGATTAGCATGTAAAATGAAAACCCTAAGCACAAAAAACCATATAAAAGCAATAAAATGAAGCTGAGGTTGCTCTCTTGCGCCTAGTTGCCGACTGCCTTTGTACAAAACAGAATCGGGAAAAAAGAGAAGTCTCAACGCCGCCGCCGCCATGGGTCGTATGCACAGTCGCGGGTATCTTTCCCCTCTTCCTCCTCTTTTATTCTCTCTCTCTCTGTGTGTACACATTTTAGTTGTTTAGGTTGTAAGCATTTTTTCCAATGTTGCAGTAAGGGTATTTCTGCCTCAGCTCTGCCTTATAAGAGAACCCCACCAAGCTGGCTCAAGATCTCTTCTCAAGATGTTAGTACTTGAACCCCTTTCTTAGATTCCTTGCCGATAGAAATCCACATGATTTTTTTTTTCATTTTCGTGACAACTGAATGTTAATGTTTTCAGGTTGAGGAAAACATTTGCAAGTTCGCAAAGAAGGGCTTGACCCCATCTCAGATTGGTGTCATTCTTCGTGATTCTCATGGTATTGCTCAGGTTAAGAGCGTTACTGGAAGCAAGATCTTGCGTATCCTTAAGGCCCACGGTATTATATTCTTATTTTCTTTGTTCTTATGATTTACTCAAGTTTATGTTTCTCATCTTAAGAGTAGATTAGTTGTACATTTAATTTTTGAACCAAATAGATTGAATTGTAAGACAATGCTAAAAAAACGCTGATTTGTTTGTTTTAAAGGGACTAGAAAAATTCCTGTTTTCCGCAATTAGCCAATTTCGGCTTAAAATTTGATGTACAGGGGTTATATTGTTCATCTTTATAGTGGAGGGGTTAATTGGTTTTTCTGTCTACAATATAAGGACCTATACAGTAGTTTGACCCAAATATTCTCCTGTGCTATGAAATATTGGGTTGCTATTAACTTATTGTTGCAACAGGTCTTGCCCCTGAAATTCCTGAGGATTTGTATCACCTCATCAAGAAGGCCGTTGCCATCCGCAAGCATCTGGAGAGAAACAGGAAGGACAAGGATTCCAAGTTCAGGTTGATCCTTGTTGAGAGTAGGATTCACAGGCTCGCCCGCTACTACAAGAAAACAAAGAAGCTTCCTCCTGTCTGGAAATAGTAAGTCTGTGACTCTCTGTATTAATGTCCCATATAGTGATTTCATCAACTATTCTGTATTTTTTTGTTCACTGTTAATTGTCCAATTAAATTTTTTTAAAATCTTTTCTAGATCAATCTCTGGGCTTTTTTCTGATTAATGTCTAATTGGTCAACTTGGATTGTTTATTCTATTCCTTTATACATGTTATTTTTAGCTTGGACGTGCGATGCAGTATGTTATGATGTTGCAAGGGATGAACTTTAACACTATCACTAGCATAATTCTATTTATATGTGAATCCCTTAGCCTAAATTGAACGGAATAAACTTACGAGTTCCTTTTCAGTAAATGATTTCATGTTTTGTCACATGTTAATATAAGTAGAGCCATGGCATTAGGTCATATGGAACATGTTAATTTGTCCTCCATTTGATTCAATTGTTTTCTTTGTGCATCCCCTATAGGCTTGTTGTTGCAATATTGATTCAATTTCTTGGTTTTACAGTGAATCTACAACCGCCAGCACTCTTGTTGCTTAAGCGGCATTTGGGCTTGTGCAATTTCTAGCTCATCTGTGTCGGGTGTGGATGCTTCAATGGAGATTCGATTATGCTTTCATGTTCTAGTGGAGATATAAGACTTCTATTTATAGCTGTTAAAATTTTTATTTTGTTTGAAAGGAGAGTTGGGAACTTGTTAGCCTTTTGATCCTATTTGCTTTCGTTTTTGTCCATTGTTGCGTTATGTGTCATTTGAAACGAGAAATCATTTCAAGTTTTGAAACCTAAAGTGCATCCTTTCTTACATTATATTGTAAAATGGCCTCTAATCGTATAATTCGCATATATATTGGACAATGAAGTACCATATTAAGTGGATATATAGGAACTCGAATATTTCCAACCGCTCATGATATTCTATATCTTAGGTCTTCCTATTCCATTATCTGGTATATGACTGAAATTACATAGATACTTACACATTATGGCTTATGTTGAAGCTTCCATGTTTTTGTTATACTACCACATAAATAGCTCATCTCTTCCTACTACACTCCTTGTTAGCAACCAACATTGTCTTTGGCTTCAAAATCCTAAATAAGTGGACATATTTACTAATTAGTCATCTTTTTCACAAAAGTAGTCGGGTGAACAATGACAGGAATCCACATATTTCAGAAAAGCATTACAAAAGAGTCGAGAGATGAGTATAATCTTTAATGTCAAAATATGCCTTAAAATTATTATATCCAAACACAATCTTTAGGTAACAAAAAGGAAACAAATTATGAAGCCACCCGACAAACTAGAATCTTCAAATTTTGCATGGGAAACACAAACTACAGAAACCCCCACAACACTCATTTGCTTAGGGATCAATCCAAGCAATGATGTCTCTTTCTTACAAACTAAGACTATGTAAAGGCCAAGAAAAAGCAAAGGGGAGGCACGATTAAGAATCTGCGATGGTGACCTCTACCTCGACACCGGGTTCAATGGTGATGGATGTAATCTGCTTCACCACATCAGGTGAGCTGAATAGGTCAATGACTCGCTTGTGGACACGAAGCTCAAATCGATCCCATGTGTTTGTTCCTGCAAAGCACACAAATAGTTATGTAGATTTTCCAAACATATTACTCGTGTTACATGAAACCCTTAGCATACTTCTGCATGTCAAACCCCAACCCTAAACCCCCGCAATCCAACTAAAAGGTTACATATATAAACTTCGATTTATGAGAACAGAAAATAGAATATGCACCAAGTAGTTCAAACAATCAAAGCTTTCCATTACCAGCACGAGTTCAAACACAGTTAACCATGCAAAACAGTAGGCAAATGGCAGCCCTTAAAGGGTAAAATAAGGATGGTCGCATGACTCAAAAGGTAGAAGACATGTAAAGCATACGCCATATCATCAAAATATGTTTACTCAGGATTGGGTAAGAGTATCAGAATCGGTATGTTTCCGGCAAAGCTAAGTTCAAATTTATCTATGTTTTTCCATGTATTTGTAGGGTTTTTGGATCTCTACACCCATGTTCAAATGTATCGAACTGAGTACTAGACATAGATACTTCAAGAGAAATAGTTCAAGAAAAATGAATATTAAAGTCGGTCTGATACAAGGCAGGTAAATTACCTTCGCCACAGGGAGACTTCCTGGTGGTGATGTGAAGAACCTTGGTGGGCATTCTTACTGGCCCCTTAACCCTCAGTCTCTTATCCTTCGCACCACGGACCAGATCGGCACAAACTACCAATCAAAGCAGAAACAAATTCAATGGGAATCAGTTCAATCCATAACATCAATCAAACAAAAATATCATGTCATGATCATAAGTGAAACCGAACTACTTTCATTTAACAGAAAAAAGTACCTTTCTCGAGGTTTTTGACATTCTTGGAGGAGAGAGTGATCCTGATCTTGTGAATCTGCTCTTGGGGCTCCTCTAAACCCGGCTTGGTAGGCTTCATTGCAGCATACGCCATTGTTATTAAACTGCCTTTCGGCTTCAGGTTCAGAGCAATGAATTACAACATATAAGAATTACTCGAATTAATTCACGAAGTGCAAAAATCTTAAACTATGGGTTGTGGATTACAAACTTGAGATTCAATCACTAGATTCTAACTAATAAAGCAAAGAAAAAAACTTTTCACATATTCCTTTAGCTAGAATTACCAGAAACAAGTGGGGGGAAAATCTAATATGCAGGAGAGAAGGGAAGTGTAGAGCCGCCGCCTCCGCTGTCTTTTTTCGCAAAAATTATGGATGGTGTGTTGAATACTGTGCTTTCTTATTAGGGTTAGGGTTCTTCGACGAATCAAAATGTTCTGCAAGTCGGGTTGCGGGTACTTGACCCAGGATGGGATCGATTATAATTGGATTTTTACGAAAAAAAAATATTATTCTAAATTTATACAATTATTTTAGAAAATAAAATACTAAGTTTTCTCTCTCCTCTTCTCTTAGCAACTATTTCTTTCTTTTATTTTGATTTGACCGGCAGCATAAAATTTAATATTAAACGTAGATTGTTGGTGTTTATTTCTATCTTATTATTTTTATATCTTGTTTTAGTTTGTTATTTTTATTCAGTTTTTTCTATTTTTTAATAAAAATATTTTTTTGTTTTATTTTTTATTTTCTCGTATATTTTATACATATTTTTCTATCTTTTTTGACACGAATTATTATACTTTTATGATATATTTTTATAATTTATAGTACATTATTTTTTTTATCTCTACGTTAAATATGGAATCAAGTAAAATTTCTTATGCCACTTGTATCTAATTTACGACGGTCGATGATCTTTTAATAATTAAATTTTCTTCTGTAGTGTTTTGTCGATGTATGCAAGTTTACTTTAATTATTTTGTAACTCTTTCATCGTCTATATAGCGTCTATCTTTTTTTTTATTAATTTAGAATAAATACAATAAATTATTTATTTATAACTCTTTATCATTTGATATTGAGCGCTCATCCCAAGAATCACAACTATTATATTATAGTGTTCGAGATTTTAAAAAATAACAATAATTCATTTATCACTTAGATTTACAAAAGTTTTATTAGAAAGAGACAAAAAAAAAAAAAAACTATTGACGGGTACTGAATTATTAGATTATAAATGTCAGATTCGAAAGAAGATTTCGAATAATATTATGTTTTTGAATTTTTTGGTAAATTCAATCCCAAACTTTTTTATTTGATGGGGGGGGGGGTGCGTTGTTAAACTTGTATATTCTTTTGTTTTCAACGAAATTCAGCATCCAGCCAAGTTCAAAGAAAAATTAGACAATTATTTTATCCAACCCGAGAGGGGTTTCTCTTCCACATCGTCTACAATTGTTAAACCCTTGAACCTAAATTGTTAACAAAGAAAATGATGAAATTAAGCTCATCAATCTCCAGCATTCGTTTCCCGAATTTCAATTTCCCCTCCAATATTACTTATCCTTCATCGAAATTTCCCATCTCTCAAAACAACCATGTCTCATTTCCCTGAAATTTCCATGCATTCTTCTCCCGCCATTACTGCGGAGGAACCCCAAGTGGCACCGCCCAAGCCTAAGCCTCGGCATCCGTGGCTCATTGTCGGCCTCGGTAACCCCGGCAAGAAATACAATGGCACCCGCCACAACGTATCTGTCTATATCTTCTTCAAATCGTCATCGTTTAGTCTTTATTTTTTTAGATCGAATTTAATTTTTTTATGATTCTATTTCTTATCCGAACAGGTGGGCTTTGAGATGGTAGACGCCATAGCTGAGTCTGAAGGGATTTCCATTACCAGTGTTAACTTCAAAGCCCTGCTTGGAAGAGGTTCTTTTTTCTTTTCCCCCTTTTTCGACCCCACAAAAAAAAACCTTTGGCTTTCTTCAATCTTTCAATTACTCTATATGATTTTAAATTTGTGGAGTTTAAAAAGGTCTGGACTCTTGCATACCGGCTGTGCTGAGAATATTATAGCCTTGGCACTTTTGTTGAGTATAATCTCTTGGTTCTTAATGGAATTGGCATTGGACACTATAGGATCCCTCAATTTTGATCTTGGGCCCTTTTTTACATTGATTTAGAATGCAGCAGGTGTGAAGGGTATATTTCACAATTAGTACTTAGATGTAATAATGAAATGCTGAATCCAGTAGTGTAGTAGAATGGTTCTTACATTGGAGTTTTTTCATTTTACTAAGTTTAGCTTTAATTTTCTTTCTAATTAAATCTCTTAACTGATTATTTATTTATTGCTCTGTTAAATATGAATTTGTGATTAAGTTATTAATACAAAATAATGGTATAGAGAAAGAAAATACAGGTGCAAAGATAATTGAACTTATTAAATCGTGACGCCACTCCTCTCTTTCCTTTTGATTTGAATGATGGCAGACAATAGAAGAGACTGTTCTTAGTAAATTCTCATATTCTGTTATCCTCTTGGGAAGGACATTGTTGCATGATATAAGTTGTGCCAGAAACCTTTGTCTTAGCTTCTTCGTCATTAGTTTAAGAATTAATATCAATGTTTCTTATGAAAGCCAGATATAGCATGCTCGGTAAAGTCTAGAAATAAAATCAGACATAGTTCATGATTAATATTGTATAAAAACTCAATCTATATGATTGTTTATATATGTACAAATTATGAGCTTGTGCCTGATAGATGTAAAAAGAAGTAAAAAATTCTATTTGATTCATGAAAAAAGTGAGTATCCTATAGAAGAATTTGTATCGCAATTTTAGTTTTTCTGGTTATAGTACCTGAAAATGAATGCTATACAATATTTGATCGAAGATAGTTACTGTTTTCCAGGGTTTATTGGAAATGCTCCTGTCATGCTTGCCAAACCACAAACTTTCATGAACTTAAGTGGTGAATCAGTAAGTGTCGTTGGACCTATATATTTTTCTTGAGGGTCAAAGCTTCTCATTTGATCGAAACTACTGTAATTCTAATAGTCATTGCATGGTTTTTCAATACATTTTGAAGGTTGGGACCATTATCTCATATTACAAGATACCATTAAAGCAAGTACTTGTGGTAATTTTCTTGAATGCGACATAATGCTAATCTTTCCCTCTCTCTCCATCCTCCACGCTGACTGTTCCTTTTAACAGATTTATGATGATTTAGATTTACCTTTTGCCAAACTGAGACTACTTCCAAAAGGTGGACATGGAGGACATAATGGGTATTTATTTTGTATTTTCGTATCCCGTTAGAGTGAATGTTTTTAGTGCAATGGTTGGCTTTATGTTTTTTTTGTGTTTTTAATTTTTACTTCTAGGATGAGAAGTATCGTTGACCGTTTAAAAGGGAGTCGTGATTTCCCTCATCTAAGAATTGGTATGCTGCTGAAAGCACTAATTAATTTCTGAAATTCTGCTAATACCCTTAGTTGCTGGTCTTTAAAGTAGTAGAACTTTTATAGGCATTGGACGGCCTCCTGGGAAGATGGATACTGTTAATTTTGTTCTCCGTCCTTTCAATAGACAAGAACGCGAAGAGGTATGCAAAAATATATCAAATAACGACAGAGAAGAAAAAGGAAACAAATTGTTACTAGATTTTTTATTGTTTCAAGATGATGTCTTTGTTTTTTCAGCTCGAGTTTACATTTCAACATGGGACGGAGGCTATTCGGATTCTTTTACTTGAGGGTTTTGATAAAAGTGCTACATTTGTCAACAGCGCCAAAGCAATGGAACTACTTAGTTAAATTATTGCTCTTGATGGTATATCTTATGTTGTTAAATTATTGCTCTTGATGGTATATCTTATGTTAAGCGCATTGAGGTAATTTACAGAACTAGATTGTGATTTCAAAGAATTTGTTAGTTAGGAACTTTGGTTAAAATTTGCATGATGTACACAATCAAGTAAACGGGTGGTTGTTTTTTTCTGAGCATTTTTTTCTTTTATCATTAATTCCTGATATTATATTTTCATTCCTGTTAACATAAACCGGCAGCAATATGTGAGGTGTTATTATTTTTAAGATTTGTATAATGAGGTGTTTGGGTTTTTAATTAAGTGTCATTATATGGTTAATTGTCGGTGTATAGATTTTTTACTTTGATAGTGTTTTAAAATATTTATATAAATTGACATATTAATAATTTATGTTGTATAGATCTTGGCACATTAAGTGAAGTTTTCTTTGTTTATTTATTTATCTCCTGCTCAGTTATTTTTTTTCCTGTTGTATTTGTCTGTATCCAAGATTACTAGTCTTTAATCAGAATCTTAATTGTTGGATATTTGTGTTGATGAATGTTGATGAATGTTGTTGAATGAAATATGAATATGTTTTTCATATGTTGTTAAAAATTTCGGCACAGATTTAATTTAACATTGGAGGGCTTGAGAAATACGGTGGACTACAGTAGAAGATGATAAATATGAATCAACATTCAACACAGAGCAAGCAATATGATCACAGCAAACTGACTCCGCCTAACATGACCGGTTTACTGTACTTTGGCATACATGGGTTGAGCAGATTATCGGGTTTGGACTTGTCAGGTATTTGCTGTCTTTTATAGTAAGTGCAAGAACCAGGTTTGAGAAACTATCTGTTTAACATTGCTTATAACTCCGGATGTACTTTTTCAAAAGAAATTCGTATGGAACAATGTCAAGATCTTTATTTCAGTCAGCAAAGAATTAATTGTTTGGAACAACATCAAGAAATCACAAATAAATCCCCCAACTGAGATATTAGTTGAGAAGTCTAGATGAAACTGAACAAGAAACTTCCAAGCTTGCTTCTTGTTTCTTTACCATTTTTTATAGGCTCGAGAGAATAGAAAGACTTTACAGTTTTGCAAGCATTGACAAACATTCACATGTTGGTTCTTTTGTGTGGGAAGGGTTTTCTTTTTCAGGGTTTGATTTCGATGCCAACGAGTCAAAGGGAGTTCAAAAATCTATATTTGAAAGGCAAGTTTCGGAGGCTTTTTACTTTTGCATAAATTTATCCAAAAATTTAAACTACCTTAGACCCTTAGTGGTTGGATGATAAAAAAAGAAATTAAATGCAAAATTTGGGTGGTAAAATCGAAACTTTATAAAGTTGGGTGAGTAAAACAAAAACAAAGACAAAGTTGAATGGCCCAAAACATAATGTACCCTATTGTATTTTAATTCATTTTCTTACACAACAATTAACCATATAATGCCACATGATAAGCATTGGTATCATTATGTGGTTAATTATCAATATATAGATTTTCATAAATAAAAGAAGGGACCCGTATATAAATTTATATGTTGATAATATATCAAAATACAACTTTATATATTTATATAAAATTTGACATGTTAATAATTTTATTTTGTATAAAGTATAACATTTTGTATGCATTTATTGTATGTTTAATTATTTTTGTACCGTTGTGTTTGTGTTGTAGTCCACAACTGTTGCATCTTTAATTGGAATCTTAAATGTTGGAGGTGAGCATTGATGAATATTGTTGAATGAGATATATATATATATATTTAATGGAACAATGGGAAGGGCGAAAAATACAGTTGACAATGATAAGTATCAAGAAATAGGAAGATTATTCAAAAGACTGCCTCGCACCTACCACAGCCGATCTACACTAATATGGCCCGACGCATATGGACGGCTTTAAATGCTCACTTCCCACATGCTAATCTATACTGTAATGTGGTTGGTTCACTATTGCTACGGCAATCGTAAATGGTCTGTTAGTCGGTTGGGTTAGACCGACTACTAGGAATATAAAGATCAATGCAGACGGAGCCTTTATTACATCGAAAAGGTCGGGGGAGGATAATTGTGGTGGCAAGAGATCATCACCGGTTTTAATTGACCATACACGTGGCTTGCATAGCCTGCATGTAACACCACCAATCCGTACCCGACCCGGATACGAGTCTGAGATGTCACATTGACTTTTTAAAACAATATTCTTATAAAATAATAGAACATTTGAATTTATATTAAGAAAATACAATAATGTACTATTAAATTATATTTCATTATAAAAAATTTAAGAAAAAACGTTTTTACGAACAGTAATATACGGTATGAACAGTACCATAAACAATGTTACAGTGTATCGATGCACTGCTACAATGTATCGATGCACAAAAAAATCGAATATAAATTGTGTATCGATGCACTATTACAGTATATCGATGCACTGCTACAGTATTATTACAGTAACTTCAGCTCAAATTATATAAAACTCATAAAAATTAAACTTTCATCACTATACATTTACCATTTACATAAATACGTTTAAAACATCCCAAAACTTGATCAGAGCACACATATTTAATTTAAAAACTTTGTTTACATGCCAACCTATTTATCACATAATAATACATACTGCTAATTTACTTCTGATCTGATATTTGAGCAGAGATATGTTGTTATTTTGAACTTAGCTTTGATCATCCTGCTTTTCAGTACCTACGTGTAAATCACTTACACGCTAAGTCATAGACTTAGTGAGGCATAAACATAATAATGATACATTTCTCATAAATATAAATATGCAATCTATGAATTCAATCATGTCACATATGATTCAGTATAAATAATAACATAATAACATATGATAATGCAAACACTTTTGATACCTTTTGTAAGCCCATTAATATACTTATCAGTCTTTATATTACTATCACTGATGCCTTTTTATCATATAAGTATATACTGAACATTTCTATACATACCATGGAACACATATATCATTTCACAACATAGCACACATAGTATCATATCAATTGATTTATTTACTCTCTTTAAAGCCCATGTACACTTCTGAGAACTGAAGGTATGTGAGTACATTGAGGTTGTGCACTATTATGCTGTCACCACAGCTCAATCGATGTCCCGAAGGACCAGACCATAGATCCCGAAGAATCTAGGTAATCAATCCATATGTCCCGAAAAAAATAGGTAAACAATCCATATGTCTCGAAGAATATAGGTAAACAGTCCATATGTCCCGAAGAATATAGGTAAACAGTCCATATGTCCCGAAGAACATAGGTAACCCTCGACCCTTGGCATGCCAACTATACCCCTAGCTCTCATATCACATAACATGGGCATTATTATTTATAACAGTTCACATATTCACATCACTTATTCATATCATTTCTCTTATAAACACATATCTCTTCTTTTCTGTCACGTATCACATGTACGTGTAATCATTGATCTTATATCATATAACATGTAATCTCATAACTTGTTCTCATATAACTTGTATATCATTCTTGTCGTATAACCCATATCACGTAGGTTCATATATACATCACATAACAAATAGAATAACATATAACTTATACATATATTCATGTACATACTTTCACATAGTCCGTACATCAATGCTATATAACTTACCTCACAGTTTTACATAATCACTTATATCAATACTACATAACTTGTACTATAATTTCATATATCCACATAGTTCAGTATCACATATTGTTTATATTATTTCTCATGAGTTCATGTAAACATGTATGTCATATCTAATTCACATATGTTCATACCGATCATGGTCATATATATAATAACATATACCCATAAGAATCACATCAATCATATAATATTTTAGGAGTCACTTCTTACCATAGTAACTCCGTCATTGGCTCATCGCAAGCCAATGTTTATTCAATAACATAAGTACAAATTAAATTGCACTCACCTATATTCCCTTGCCTTTCCCTCGATCAATCTTACTTGTCACTTGTTCTGGAACTCGTTTAGGTTCAATATCTACATAAACATAATTTCTGAGACGATTATCAGAAGCCTAAACCTTATAACTTGGTATTAATAACTATGGGTACATCGGTACCCAAAATAGCTTCAAAATTTTCATGCATCGATGCCTACCGGTGTGTATCGATGCACCTTCAAAATTGGTCTTAGTGCATCGATACCCATTCATAGTGTACCGATGCACCTGTCAATAATAAATTGGTTTCACCCAAAAATTCCACAACTTTTCATTAAATTTCCTCATATAAAACTCCTTTCATACCACTAAACTCAACTACAACCATTTTGACTAACTTTTATCATTCCAACACCTTATTATCTCTCATATCTCATCCAAATTCTTAAAGTTAAGAATCATACCCAATTTTCCATGTTATCCAAACTTTGATTTAACACTTATAACTTCTTATTCACACCTATGACAAGTCAAATTCCATCTCAAAGTTCATTTATTAACTCTTTTTCAGAAATTCACTTTGAAACCCATTCTCTTTAATCTTTAATAAATTCTTCATCTTTTGAAGACAAATTAAGCTTTCCTTAAGCTTAAGTGTCACCTAAGGATCATAACCCAACCTTTAATTCAACAAATAATCAACTAATTAAGAAACTCACCTTTGTTTGTATGCTTCACGGTTGGAGAAGAGAAGAAGATGAAGAAGAGAATTGTTTGGAACTTGTTTCCCAAAACATATGCTCCACATGGGTATTATAATACCCAATAATTATTATTTAATTATTTCCTTGTTCAATGACCATTTTCCCTTTCACTCTTTCTTCATTTACTAAACTATCCTATATAAAATATTTCAATTAATGCCTTCACTCTTCAATCTATCTAATATGGTCATTGAATTTTTAAAATCTTACACTTTAATCACTAACCCGGTATTGAGGATGTTACACCGCATGACCCGAAGCTGGTTGAGGCATGTATGTTTGTTGATGGGTTTGCATGTATAAGACTCACTTGTGACAAAGCAGTGGCGGATGTAGGTGTTGTCGGGATGAGCATGTGTTCACTTTGAAATCTAAATTTCTTTATGTTAGTTGTTTGTTTTACTGATAGTGTCTATTCTTATAAAAAAAATTATGTTATTAATATATAATGTCTGTACCAAAAAATATTTTTGAATCCACTGCTACGCCAAAGTACGATGATCAAGCAATCAACCATTTTCGGATAATCTTATGCTCATTCTTTTCTTTTTCCTTGCAAGTTGTAGCTTTGACTTATGGGTTATTTTTAGGGTTTAGCTTCATTTTTCAACTCTCGATTTGTTGTGAGTAGTGGATTAAATAAAGGGATATGGCCGGTAAGATTAGGTTGGTTTTTGATTTTTCTTTAGCATAGAAAATAACAAGGTTCATAATCACTTTGATGTCAAGCTCATTATCACGGTTTTCATGCAATATACACAATGTCAAATTATCGAACACATCCATTTACCACTTTAAATCGATTTCACATGTCTTGAACCTCGAAATGTAACTCGAAACTTATAAACATCTTAAAAATTCGTTTTATACATGGCCAACAATAATCTAGTTATATATATATATATAACACTGTGTAAAACTCTTTTAATTTTACACATTTTCAAGACCATTGGATGAAAGAAATTAAATGTTGAGATTAACAGTAGAAAATAAGAAGATAATTACTGGAAAAAAAACAATGAGTTAATGTAAAACCCATAGCCCATATACATTTCAAAATATGATCTATAAATGTCACATCAACTTAACAATTATTTGCTAAATTTAAATGCTTAAAATTTTGTTTCTTTCTAAAACACTTCTATTCCAACCTTAAAACTATTCTATTGATCATATAAAAACATAAAATAATATTTAATTTTGCAAAATGAGTTTTTTCTAGGCA